TAGTTTTTGCCATTTGCCATGCCATGAGAAGATGGGCCACCCATGTGGTTCTCCTGAGAGACAACCAGTGGACGTCAAGAATTACAAACTAGTTTCCGCTGGATAACGAGCATCCACTCAATCATCCAAGAACAAGATGGAACAGTCCGATGGTGAGCTTACATAGCTAGCGAGAAAAACATGATGCTTAGAACAGAAATTACTGGAGCAGCGTTGACTTGTGTTCATGGTGCAGCCATGACGATGACAAATCGGATATCGGATCTGAAGGACCGTCACCGTTTATGTACTCTTTTTCATTAGGTTGCTGATATCCTTGCATCTGTCACTTCCCTAGTAGTATTGTTAGAGAGGCATAGCTGTGATTAACCCGGTTAAGCTATATTAAGCTATATGGCGCCTTAAGTAATCAGGTTCGAAACTTTGCCAGTCAAGAAAGATTGATGAGCTGTTTGTTATTCACTTCCATGGATGGGCTTCAGAGACTATAATGCTTAAAAGATAATCTTTCTTCTGTGAGTATTAGACGCTCGATGCCTCCAACTAACAGCTTTACATTTAAATTTGTGCTTACACCTTATGTGCTGATTTTTATTCTTCTGTCAGGCGGGTCAAGGCGAACTGCAGTCGTAGAAACGCGCGCATCAGACATCATGGCCATGTCCCGCACACTCAGTCATAATCGCAACAAGGTACGATGTTATCCTTATTATTTCCAGGTCAACGACCTGCTACCCTGTTTTCGACTGGTGTCATCGAAGTACAGTGGACTTCACTTTCTGTTCAAGGGAACTGGCAGTTAGCGGGAGAAAAAAATTGACGCCGGTGGGGGGTTTCAAGCCGGCACCTCTATAACGCAAAACAAACTACTAGCCAACAACTGCACGAGTGTCCCCTGAAGAATGCGGTGTCATCAGCGGCGTCAAGAAGACTCCTAATTTATGATTTACTTTTCAACGATGATGATGAACGACTACTGCGTATCGCAGGCGTTTCCAGCCTAGAAGCAAGAAACCTTCCTTTGCCAAGCGCACTGTGAACGTCAGCTATGCCGTGGCGTGTTCCTGTTTCTGTTGGACGTGTGGAAATTCAATCATCACAAAAAACGATGACGCTCGCATTGCGTTGACCAGTTTCTTTCGGTCGTCGTTTCAAGCATAACCTTCAAACCACTTGTGATAAAGTTTGCGCGTTCGCTTTAATTCACGTTTCATATTACTATATAGCGTTATTTCTTTAGGCAGATCACCTGAACATCACTTTTCGGGCATTCGCCTCCGAGTTTAAAGTGTAACCCTAATCTAGGTTCCTTGAGGTTTGATTGGTTCGTTACTTTGAACAAAGTCGTATGTGAAGTAATTTTTGAATTAACCGTTAGAAGTTGCCTATGGACGTCGCACAAAAACAACTTATGCCCTTTACACGTGCTACTAGTAACGCATTAGACGGCATTGAGGCCACGCGTACGTGCACATGGTGCATTACTTTTTTCGTTTTAGCGTGAGTCAGCGTTTCGTGTTGGTACGGCATGACAAAAACTTCCACAACTTATCCGTGCTGTCATCTCTTCAACACATGGTAACTTCATCTGACTGCTGCGTTTTGGTCGATTCTGAGGTAGAGAGGAATGTTTGTCACTCGATTTCTCAAGTACTATTTCGAAGACGCTTAACCTCCCGCTATTTCAACCGACAAATCATGACGATCATCGGTATTTTCGTCATGCTTTCCTTTTTACGTAGCAAGTTTCGTCACAAAGCTTGCCGAAAGCATAGTACTGGCTGATAAATAAGAGCAGAGGCGATCGCAGCTTTGATATGACCACCCAACGACCAGGAAATCAACGTTGGAAGATAACTTAACAAAAAGTCTTTCGTAGTCTTGTAAATAATGCAGTGTTATCATCAGTGACATGGCTTCCTATGATTCTGGAAACCGGATAGACAAACAAACTTGAGCCACTGAAGCTTACAGTATTGCAAGTTTTGGGAAAGAGACAGATTAACATACCGATGGTCATGGCAAAGGTATCGGCGATCCACGCCATTTCTCTCGGTCCAGTGCCCATGTCCGGTGCTGGAACGTCCAAACCCGGTCCTGAAAATTCAGAATAAGTTTAAGGTCCGGAACTGCACAACAGGATGGATGAGAATTCGCATCAGTTGCACTTACCCAAAAATCCCTTCTTTGCATATTCGATAGCCAATCGTCGAGTGATGCGCTCCAATTCGCCTTCTGAGTACTTCCTTGGATCGATTTGGACGCCGCCCTTCGAGCCCCCGAATGGAACGTCCACTACTGCGCACT